AACTTCTAGCATTGTTGATTTTATCAACTGTAGTTTATTTTCCATCTTACCAATTTTTTTCTTTTTATTTCCTTCTTTTTACTGTTAAGACTTGATTTTCTGATTGTTTTTAAATTTCTTAGATTCTTAGATCACTATTTTCTTAGCCTTCAAAAAATTTTTTTGAATATATGCATATTAAAGCTATAAATGTCCCTCTCAGCTTGTCTTTACCTATATCCCCCACATTTTGAAAGGCAGACTTTTAGTTATGGCTTAATTCAAGACATTTTCTAATTTCCACTGTGATTTCTGGATTGTCCTATGGGCATTGTAAGGGGACTGCTTAATTGCCGAACATATGGGGATTTTTGCTCTTAACTTTTTGTTATTTACTTTTAGCTTGATTTCACTGTGGTCATAGAAAATACGCTAATATTCGTCCTGCAAATTCTCAGTACCTTGATATCTCTCGAACATCTTAAAAAGTGCTTTAATATTTAATCCAGATTTTCTAGTTGTTTTCAGAAACACATTTGTTACAAAACAACCTATTCAGCTATTGCTAGAAGCACTACTACCACCACTGATATTTTAATTAATTGTGATGCTACCACAATCCCCTGGTAGGTTACTAGTGTCCCAGCAAAATGTCCTCACTACATCCGTGGTCAGAGAGTTAAGCAACTCTATCTAGGAATTCCATGTTATTTTCTCCCTGTTCTTGCTATTTCTAATATTTCTAACAAACAAGCTAATTTATCACATTTATTACTGCTTCCAAGGTCTTCCCCAAGAGACTCCACATTTTCTATCTAATCTTTTTCTGCCTACATCTTAACTTGGTCCCCCACCACACCTCTCCTCCTGTTTGCAGACCCCAAATGTGCTGAATCACTTTCCCTTGTTATATTATTCTCAGCCTCTCCCCACTTTTCTTTGAAATGTCTGCCCTCTGATGATTTTTGTCTAATGTATAATAAAATAGATACATCAGCATTAAAACGGAAAAGAGGGTCATCTCTGTGTCACTGAGACTGCCTTGAACACCAGCAGTGGCACATGTCACATTTTTGGAAACTGAGCTCTGGTGTGAGAAGCAGAGGCTTCACCTCCCTGAGGGGATCAGAGGATTCACAGCAACACTTCAGGGATGTCATTGAACAGATTTATACGTCTAATGGGATTACACCACGTGACCTGTACAGTCTACGTTTTGAGACTCACTCCAGTCTCAAAAACCTCAAAAATAGAACACAATTCTCACAGCACTTGTTTTATTTAGGTACAATTAAAAAAAAAACCACTTTACAGCTTTCCTCCAGAGCTGACTGGTGCAAGGCCCCCGCTAAGATGGGCAGCACTTTTACCTGGAGACATAAATAACTATAATGCTCATATCAACGGTTCCACAGTACTGCTTAGGCTGGCGTGGATCCTGGGCGGAGGGCAGCCTGCAGTAATTGATAGATTCCTTTGACCAAACAAACAAAAAACACTTCTTTTGGTGACAGCGGAGTTGGTGAAATGATTTTAGTGTGACGAGTTTATTGTTTCTGTCCGAGTCTCATTTGAAGAGTAATGCCAACCATCCCGAGCAGACTTGAATTTATTTGCATGGCCAAACCTGTCAAAAGCTGACCACTCTGCCCAGCCTTTCTGTCACCCGCTCCAAGACTGAGCCCTCTGCCGCAGCCCAAGGCTGTTTCCTGTCCTTTCCTAGCAGAGATGGACATGAGCTGCTCACTACAGCTGTACACTACGCCCCGAGTTCCTGGCCACCCCAACCAGCCGCCTGCCTCTCATCCCCCTCCCTCCGTAATCCGCATCCCTCACCCTCTCCTCACCAGCCCCAAGGGACCTGCGCTGTAGCCCCACCCTCATCTCAGAATCTTCTCCACGTTGGTCCCACCCTAAAGAAGAGAGAAGTGAAATCAGCGCTGAGTGTAAAGGGGGGACAGAGCAAGGGACCATCTCACCCCAGAATTGCTCACCTGTGAAAACCAGGGGTACTTCACTGTGTCTTCAGGAGCGTCTCACCCCAACGAAAGAGACGCAGCTCCGACTGGATGCGACAGACAGTGACCGTGATGGCACACCCGGCGGAGGGAAACAAACATGCCAGGGCTGGAGGCCAGTTCCCCAGGGAGATGAAGCCACCAGAGCAGGAGCATCCTTGCCTGCAAAACAAAACTAGCTGTAAATAACTGAGGTAAATATGAATGAGTCCTTTTGTTTGAGGAGATTCTAAGCCTGAGACAGCTTAGAAACCTCACATATATATCATTTGTCATTAAAGTGTCATATATCAAATGTATATGATAAACACCTGCAGTGGCATCTCGTCCATTATGAGCAGTAAGTAAATAAACACATCAGTTGATAACAAGATGCAATTCCCTGAAGTGAACTGAAGACACACAGAGCAGAGAGGGGGTGAATTACTCAGATTCTGCCTTGGTTTCCACGTTCTGTTGGGGGCTTTGAGGAGTCCTGAGAGGTGACTCTCTCTTCCCTGCCTGACATGTGAGGCACCTGAGAAACAAAGCAGGAGAAACGGCAGGCGGAGGCTACAGCCTCACCTTTATTAAGTTGCTGTGGAAGATGTGGGTTCTATCTGTGAGCAAAAAAGCAAGTAATCGTGGAGGCCCGGCCCCGCCCTGCCCAGCCCCTGCCCTCTGGCAGCAGGCTGGCTCCCAAGAGGAAAGCAGAGAGGGGCCGAGCCAACCACCTCGGGTTGTTCTCTCCAAATTTCCTATCAGCAAAGCCATCCCATCTTCTCTGAGCAGAGGGAGCCAGGCCAGGATGTTACCTAAATAAAACCCCCTCCACCTGAAAAAGTTGTCAAATGTGGGGAAGAAGAGTACCCTCAAAACACAATCCGACGCTTCACCCTCCTTATGGCTGGTTTCTCTGGTCCCTCATCACTCCACACCCAAATGCTCTTGGCAAAATCTCCTCTTTTGCAGGTATAATAAAGTGTGGGTGTGCATGTGTGTTCACTCATGTGTGCACATGTGAGTGTGTGAATGTGTGTGGGGTTGTCTGGTGTGAAGGTGTGTGCATTGTGAGTTTGTTTACGAGCATGTGTGAGTGTGCAACCATGAATGGATGTGTGTAAGGGTAGGTGTGCACGTATGTCTGAACGTGCATGTACATAGGTGTGCATATAGTGCAAGTGTGTTTGTGTGTCTGAATCAAGCTCTGGAGCCAGGCATTCAGGCACATATTTAGACATATTCCTTTCAACAAACACCCCTTGAGTACCTACAATGAGCAATGACTGTGGCAGCCACAAAGAGAAGCATTACATTCCTCTAGATACAAAAGGATTACAGGCTGGTAGGAAAGATATTCACATAAGCAACCACACACAGCACAAGATCACAGATCCCGAATGCCATATGGCGTGAAGAGAAAACTGTTCTGCAGGACGGCAGGGCTATCTGAGATCAGCTTGAGAAGAGACGGGAGGTGCTGGAGGGCACTCCAGGCAAAGGCGTAGAGGAGCTCAGGCCAGAGGTGGAAATATGGGGCACGTTGAAGCAGTGAGTCATTTGTTATGCCAGGGCAGAAATTAATGTGAGAGGTGGTGCATCAGCTCAGATCAAGGATAACATCTGGCTTTTCTTCACCTTATTTCATAGGATATGTGGTGATGAATGATGGGAGATGGCCAACTTGTGGAGAACGTTGTCGTCTTAAGAAATGTGAACTTCCTCTCTCAAGGGAAAGGGAAGCTGATGTGTTAAGAGTGGAGAAAGGGAACGACCGGCGTGGGACTGGAAATGTCAGGGTTAAGGTTCCTGCCTTAGTGGAGGCCAGAGGTAATGAGGGTCTGGACTAGGCGGCACAAAGGAGTGGTCGGAGAGGTGACACTATTATAGGTACACTCCGCGGTGCCCTGTGGGAGTGAGGAGCAGCCTCTCTGATCTGGTGACCGGCGCAGCACGATGTCACCACCATGAGGGGGAAGAGAATGACGGGGTAAGAGAGATGAAGGCAATTCGGACTACTGTGTCTCCATCTACCAGAGCTAGGCTCCGTGACCCCAGAGCTTGTGCAGATTGACTTTTGGGAATTGTGTCCTCCTGCTGGGTAGGGTTCAAAGAATGCATGTTTTTCTTGTCACCATGCTTCAACTATCAGCGGAAGCTGTTCTGTGCTGGGGGAAATCAATTCGGGACCTTTTATCTCTAATGAATTTATCTCTGTAGCTCTAACTCAAGAAAAGTCTCAGTGTGAGTCCTCAGTGGGAGCCCTGAAGAAGCAGGTTTCCAGAACACTGGGGTCTTGCTCTGGTCTGCTCTGCTCAGTCTAGCAAGAAGCCACATCTGGACCCTCCAGTGGGCATGTCCAGTGGTGTGCGACCTGACAGAGGGATGAAGGGACCTCAACCACATCAGCTGGGAATAGGCAGGCATGGGAATAGGCAGGCATGTTTGTGGGTCCGAAGAGAAGTCCAGAAGATTCCAGGAGAGGGAGGAGACAAGCGGGCTCCAGTTGACAGACAGGACTCTGCTGGGGCAGCAAGAACACGGAAGCAAAAGCCTAGAACCCTCAATGCGCCACATCAGCCTGGGGTAAAGGTCTTTGGTGACAGAATTCAGCAGAACCAGAGGCTAGAGACAGGATGAGGTTGAAAAGGCAGACAAAAAAGCAATTGAGATGGATTCTAAAAACCACTGAAGAATGGTTAGCCAGAAGGATGTCGGACTCAGACAGCTAAGAGCCAGTAGTGGGTAGATTCCCAATGTGGGAGCTTGAGAATGAAATGGATTGAAAAATCAAAGATCCAATGACGCAATGACATGTATTCTAGGGGCTGCTCTGTAATCTGAGAAAGTTCATTGGCGTGGAGAAGAGATGGTAGCTGTTACCTAAATCATAAGCTCTGGAAGGCAAAGCATGCAGATGTGAGGTCTTGACCAGTAGGCAATCAATAGACATTGATTGACTGATTGCTTAAGCAAGCCTTTCAAGAGGATAGCCTCTTAACCTTATACCTTAACCTTATACTACACCCTCATCTCAGAATCTTCTCCACGTTGGTCCCACCCTAAAGAAGAGAGAAGTGAAATCAGCGCTGAGTGTAAAGGGGGGACAGAGCAAGGGACCATCTCACCCCAGAATTGCTCACCTGTGAAAACCAGGGGTACTTCACTGTGTCTTCAGGAGCGTCTCACCCCAACGAAAGAGACGCAGCTCCGACTGGATGCGACAGACAGTGACCGTGATGGCACACCCGGCGGAGGGAAACAAACATGCCAGGGCTGGAGGCCAGTTCCCCAGGGAGATGAAGCCACCAGAGCAGGAGCATCCTTGCCTGCAAAACAAAACTAGCTGTAAATAACTGAGGTAAATATGAATGGGTCCTTTTGTTTGAGGAGATTCTAAGCCTGAGACAGCTTAGAAACATCATATATATATCATTTGTCATTAAAGTGTCATATATCAAATGTATATGATAAACACCTGCAGTGGCATCTCGTCCATTATGAGCAGTAAGTAAATAAACACATCAGTTGATAACAAGATGCAATTCCCTGAAGTGAACTGAAGACACACAGAGCAGAGAGGGGGTGAATTACTCAGATTCTGCCTTGGTTTCCACGTTCTGTTGGGGGCTTTGAGGAGTCCTGAGAGGTGACTCTCTCTTCCCTGCCTGACATGTGAGGCACCTGAGAAACAAAGCAGGAGAAACGGCAGGCGGAGGCTACAGCCTCACCTTTATTAAGTTGCTGTGGAAGATGTGGGTTCTATCTGTGAGCAAAAAAGCAAGTAATCGTGGAGGCCCGGCCCCGCCCTGCCCAGCCCCTGCCCTCTGGCAGCAGGCTGGCTCCCAAGAGGAAAGCAGAGAGGGGCCGAGCCAACCACCTCGGGTTGTTCTCTCCAAATTTCCTATCAGCAAAGCCATCCCATCTTCTCTGAGCAGAGGGAGCCAGGCCAGGATGTTACCTAAATAAAACCCCCTCCACCTGAAAAAGTTGTCAAATGTGGGGAAGAAGAGTACCCTCAAAACACAATCCGACGCTTCACCCTCCTTATGGCTGGTTTCTCTGGTCCCTCATCACTCCACACCCAAATGCTCTTGGCAAAATCTCCTCTTTTGCAGGTATAATAAAGTGTGGGTGTGCATGTGTGTTCACTCATGTGTGCACATGTGAGTGTGTGAATGTGTGTGGGGTTGTCTGGTGTGAAGGTGTGTGCATTGTGAGTTTGTTTACGAGCATGTGTGAGTGTGCAACCATGAATGGATGTGTGTAAGGGTAGGTGTGCACGTATGTCTGAACGTGCATGTACATAGGTGTGCATATAGTGCAAGTGTGTTTGTGTGTCTGAATCAAGCTCTGGAGCCAGGCATTCAGGCACATATTTAGACATATTCCTTTCAACAAACACCCCTTGAGTACCTACAATGAGCAATGACTGTGGCAGCCACAAAGAGAAGCATTACATTCCTCTAGATACAAAAGGATTACAGGCTGGTAGGAAAGATATTCACATAAGCAACCACACACAGCACAAGATCACAGATCCCGAATGCCATATGGCGTGAAGAGAAAACTGTTCTGCAGGACGGCAGGGCTATCTGAGATCAGCTTGAGAAGAGACGGGAGGTGCTGGAGGGCACTCCAGGCAAAGGCGTAGAGGAGCTCAGGCCAGAGGTGGAAATATGGGGCACGTTGAAGCAGTGAGTCATTTGTTATGCCAGGGCAGAAATTAATGTGAGAGGTGGTGCATCAGCTCAGATCAAGGATAACATCTGGCTTTTCTTCACCTTATTTCATAGGATATGTGGTGATGAATGATGGGAGATGGCCAACTTGTGGAGAACGTTGTCGTCTTAAGAAATGTGAACTTCCTCTCTCAAGGGAAAGGGAAGCTGATGTGTTAAGAGTGGAGAAAGGGAACGACCGGCGTGGGACTGGAAATGTCAGGGTTAAGGTTCCTGCCTTAGTGGAGGCCAGAGGTAATGAGGGTCTGGACTAGGCGGCACAAAGGAGTGGTCGGAGAGGTGACACTATTATAGGTACACTCCGCGGTGCCCTGTGGGAGTGAGGAGCAGCCTCTCTGATCTGGTGACCGGCGCAGCACGATGTCACCACCATGAGGGGGAAGAGAATGACGGGGTAAGAGAGATGAAGGCAATTCGGACTACTGTGTCTCCATCTACCAGAGCTAGGCTCCGTGACCCCAGAGCTTGTGCAGATTGACTTTTGGGAATTGTGTCCTCCTGCTGGGTAGGGTTCAAAGAATGCATGTTTTTCTTGTCACCATGCTTCAACTATCAGCGGAAGCTGTTCTGTGCTGGGGGAAATCAATTCGGGACCTTTTATCTCTAATGAATTTATCTCTGTAGCTCTAACTCAAGAAAAGTCTCAGTGTGAGTCCTCAGTGGGAGCCCTGAAGAAGCAGGTTTCCAGAACACTGGGGTCTTGCTCTGGTCTGCTCTGCTCAGTCTAGCAAGAAGCCACATCTGGACCCTCCAGTGGGCATGTCCAGTGGTGTGCGACCTGACAGAGGGATGAAGGGACCTCAACCACATCAGCTGGGAATAGGCAGGCATGGGAATAGGCAGGCATGTTTGTGGGTCCGAAGAGAAGTCCAGAAGATTCCAGGAGAGGGAGGAGACAAGCGGGCTCCAGTTGACAGACAGGACTCTGCTGGGGCAGCAAGAACACGGAAGCAAAAGCCTAGAACCCTCAATGCGCCACATCAGCCTGGGGTAAAGGTCTTTGGTGACAGAATTCAGCAGAACCAGAGGCTAGAGACAGGATGAGGTTGAAAAGGCAGACAAAAAAGCAATTGAGATGGATTCTAAAAACCACTGAAGAATGGTTAGCCAGAAGGATGTCGGACTCAGACAGCTAAGAGCCAGTAGTGGGTAGATTCCCAATGTGGGAGCTTGAGAATGAAATGGATTGAAAAATCAAAGATCCAATGACGCAATGACATGTATTCTAGGGGCTGCTCTGTAATCTGAGAAAGTTCATTGGCGTGGAGAAGAGATGGTAGCTGTTACCTAAATCATAAGCTCTGGAAGGCAAAGCATGCAGATGTGAGGTCTTGACCAGTAGGCAATCAATAGACATTGATTGACTGATTGCTTAAGCAAGCCTTTCAAGAGGATAGCCTCTTAACCTTATACCTTAACCTTATACTCTTAATCTTAACCTTATACCTTTGGAATGGCTTTTTCTAGTTTCTCTCTCTCTCTCTCTCTCTCTCTCTCTCTTTTTTCCCCTAGCAGCTGTTATTGCCTCAGCAAACTAAAGCTGTTGCTATTTCAGCATCATTGCTAAGAAGGGCATCAGAGCATCTTAATGTCAGGCTGAGCTCACTCACCCAGATTAATTCCTTAGATGTTCAGCATAATTTCTGGTAAAGTCACCTTTTAGTCAGACCAAAAGGCAGATAACTCACTTTATCTGTGAATCTTTTATCTTGTTGACAAACCAAAATCCTCATACATTCCAATTTTCATGGCAATTCAAGAAGCTGGTAGAAGAAGAAATGTGGACTCCAGAAAGATCTATGAAGTTGGCGCTTTGCTCCTTGCTATCATGTGAGTGACTCACCACACCATCCTGGCAGTTTCTGACCCAGTTGTGCAGAGATTACAGAAATATGGTGATTACTATGTCCCTAAGCTTCTAACTGGTTTTAAAGAAGTAGTGGATTTTCACTTTTATTTATAGAAACTTCAAGTTTATTTCCAAAGGCAAGAGTCTGAGAAGACATTCAGAATCTGAGAGTTTGAGAGGACATGTGGGATCATCTAAATCCCTCTTGCATCAGATACGTAAAGTGAGGCTCAGAGAAGTGACTCTTACCTAAGATTCAATTAAGTGAAATGCTGGTACTTTGAAATGAGCTTCCCATGTTCTACTATATGTATTATGCCTCCTCATTGTCAGAAATACTTGCACTGGGTCTAGATATTTAAAAATTAATGCAAAAAGGATTAAAATATAATAAAAAGTAATCAAAACAAATAATGCAAAAATAGGGGAAAAAGCAAAAACATAATGCATATGCCATTTGCTCGTCTGAACATGTGTTTCTCAAAAGGTTCATTTTATATACCTTTTTTCTATGCAAAAATGATAAGCAGTTATAATTTTTTCTGAGCATAGGGTGATAATTCCTGGCACCTGGCATTAGGAAAACTCAGGTATATAAGTTTTGTCCTTCATCTCTCTCAGTTTTTATCCCCCAGAACAAAGGAAAATTAAATGTATAATAGAAATGTAATTACAATTAAATTACAATAGAAATGTAAGCTTTTTTCCCTCTGGTTTTTGTTGCTAGGGTATAAGACCACGTGTGTCATGAAGCTCTCTCCCATCTGGCTGGTTTTTGAAACTTCTCTGGGACCGAGTTTTTACAGTTGAGCAATTAATTTTCTTTAACACTTGGGAGCTGTTGAAATAAAGCAGATTTCAGAGAGAGTAGTTCATGACCTCATGCCTCTGTGAGTTGTGCTGAGAACTGACCCCCTGCATTACTGGGTGAGAAAAATCTATTAAAATTTCTTGGATGAATACTTCAACAGGCTGTTTTCATTTTGAAAATCCTCATTTGGTGCATTTTAGAAGGCGTGATGAATGATGTCACTTCAGACATTAAGACTTATAACCCTGGATGACATGATTTTTCCTCAGATTCAGAGCTTTACTATAACATTACAACAATTCCATTAGGCTACATCTATTACACTTGAAGTCTTGTAAAATACCGGGGAAAAAATCAACATGGTTTGCTATTGTTGAAAACATATCAAGAACAATAAAGTATCTGTGAACTTAAGCCACCCAAAAATCACATGAAATTATGGAAAAAAAATAATTCAAAAAGAAGATATAAAAGACCACCTAACTATAGAAAGATATGTACATTATTCATATATGGGCCAACTAAGCACAGACTACATGTTAATTTTCCCTAAATTAATTTCTAACTCAATGCAATTTTAATCAAAATCTCAACATGAGTTTTTCCAGCTTTTTCTGAGACATAATTGACACATAAGAATATGTGAGTTTAAGGTGTACAGCGGGATTGATATATGTATGTATATAGTATGTGATGATTACCTCAACAGGGTGAGTCATCACCTCCTTCACCTCCCACAATTCCCATTCTGTTGTTATGATGAGAACACTAAACTTGCACTGAGACCTTTGAGTATAAAATATGGTATAGTTAGTTATAGTCACTGGGCTATACCTTAGACCCTGGAAATGTATGAATTCAGGATGAATTTTTTAATTGGAAAATCCTAAAATTAATCAAGAAGAGGAAAAGTCCACAAATAGCCAAGGGAATTCTGATAAAGAAGAGCAAAGAAGGCCTAGCTCCTTCAAAGAGGACCCATGTTGGAAAGCATAGACACGGGAGAGGCAAATAGAAGAAAGTTTGGACAGAGGAACATGTGTACATATGGGGAATCGGCACATGATCGAGCTGGCACTACAGAGCAGGGGGAAGAAGGTGACATAAAAACGGATCTCAGAAAATGTGGTTCATTCGGTGGAAAAAATAGATTTAAATTTAAAAAAATTTAAATTTATTTGTAATAGTTACATATAACAACACATCATATAATAAATGTTACTATATAATTATGAATGAAATTGTTTAAAATTTAAATAATGTGTTTAAATATATTAAAAATCACAAATGTAAAGAAATGCCGAATAGTTTTAAGACTATAAAACTACTAATAGGAAAGAGAGGAGAATATCTTTAGAAACTTGGGGCAGCAGAGGCAGATCGGGAAAAAAAAATTAAACAACAGGTGGCGCATGGAGGACTTTTAGGGCAGTTTGTTTGTATGATACTGTACTGGTGGATGCACGGCGTGATGCATTTGACCAAACCCATATGATGCACACCACCAAGGTAAACCCATAAGGTAAACCATGGACTCTGGGAGATAATGATGTGTCAGTGTTAATGCAGGTTCATCGACGGCAACAAATGACCCCCTCTGCGGGGGTGGGGGGTGGCAGGGAGGTTGACAGTGAGGGTGGCTGTACATGCTGGGGGTAGTGGGTGTACATAAACCCTGTAACTTCTGCTCAGTTTTGCTGTGAACCTTTAACTGCTCTAAACAATAAAGTTTATTAAAACAGACAAACACACCCATTTTGCAGCTCTGGCCATCAGGAGGTGGATGGAGTTTTTTCCCAGTCCTTGCATCTGGGCTTGGCCATGTGCCTTGCTTTGCCCCCCGGGCACCAGCAGTATGAAGAAGCAGAGGCTTGAAGAGCACGTGTTTCAGCGGCACTTGCCCTCCCCTGCAGCTGGCGATCCTTGAGGCCACCACAAAGAAGCCGGGCCAGCCTCCTGGAGGTGGAGGCCTAGATGAGAGGCCCAGCCATCCCAGCGGAGGGCCCCACAATGCGAGGCCACCTTCAACCCCAGGAAGCAGGCCCAGTCCAGAAGGACCACCTCACCAAGCTAGAGAAATTAAACATTGTTGGCTTTAGCCACTGCGCTTTGGAGTATTTTGTGATACAGAAAAAGTTAGCTGAATCAAACAGGAGCACAAAAAGTACAAACGTCAGAGGAAAAAGTTGGATGGATTTAGCAACACCCAAAGTAAAGCTTTCTCTTTGAAACCAAACTGCATTTCAGGGTACTGCCAAATGTAAATCAACTGTTACCCTAAAAAGAACAACAAAACAAAACAAAACAAAGTAAAGCATTGCCCTCAAAACAAGACACCCTGGACAAAGGTAACAGGAGATGGGCTGGAAGATATTCTACAAAACCAGGACAAAAGATTAAAATCCAGAATATCTAAGGAACTCTTCCAAATCACAAAGAAAAAAGAAAAATAGGCAAAAAACATGAAATAAAAAGAAATTCACAGAAGTAAAACTGGAATGGCCCATTAATACATAAGGGGAGTCTCAAACTCATTAGTGATCAGGGAAACACCAAGTGTGTTAAAATGAGATACCACCTTATAACCATTAGACTGGCAAGAATAAAAGCTGTGTCACAGCAAAGGGCTGACAAAGACAAGGGGCAAGGGATTCCTGATTGCACTACAGATGGGCAGGCATCCTCTGCTGACCCCATTTTTGGAGGTCAGTTGGTCAGTATTCAGGGAAAACACGTGCATGTGTGTCCTCTGTGTGCCCATAAATACTGATTCTGGGTGATACCCAGAGACCCGACACAGGCGCACAGAGACTGTATGTTTGCAGCACCATTGTGAATGTAAACAGTCGTAGCCAATCTAACTGTCCTTCAGCGGGAGAGTGGATAATGAAACTGTGGGACATGCCCAGGAGGCCAAAACTAGGTGACAGGTGCAGTAAGCCTTAGGAAGGCTACCTGTCAAGAGCAGCAGGCTGAGTGAAAAACAATAAGTACAACAAGATGTGTAGCCCAGCAGCAGTTATGTAAACTAATGTCTATCCTATACACATCCAAGTATGGAAGGTAAGTTAGAAGAACACACAGGAAAACTCAAAACGGATGTTTTTGAGAGGAGAATAATATGGGTGACTAAGGGACTATGATAAAGTAAAATGAAATCAGAAAATTCCTTTTTTATGGGTACCTCATGCTTGATGACTGCATGAATTTCTCCGATAAAGTTGGGATTTGGAAAGTCAAGTAAAAAAATAGATAAACAAAGAGGGAGAGCCTCTCTCACATCAATAGAATACAAAATGCAGAGTGATACCCTCAAATTTGGCGACCTTTTGCTGGTACCACTAAGCATCACTATTGACCTGTAATTCTAAATAGATGCCCAGCAGAAAGCAAAGCAAGACAAAAGGCATCTTTCCTCTTCTTAAAGGGAGACTCCTCACGGGGAAAGTTCCCGGCTCGCTGCTGAAATCATTTATGAAGAAGCTAGTGGTCCCCCTCCCCCACAAACCGGCCTCTGCAGTGCTTTCTGCATACGGTCGTGCTGCTGTGTGACAACCACTTCTTTAACTATAAAACTAATATCTGTGCAGGGCCTCCTACTTTATACCACTCTTGAGCATAATTTATTTCATCTGGTTTACATCCAAACGTGAAGCCAAAAGTATTTATATTCTTACTTGAAGACAGCTGCTCATGAACAAATCAAGGTGTTGCTCCCGGAATTAAGGATTTAGCCTCAACAGCCCTGGGCTTATTACTTTGGTTCCATCTGGTTGAGTTTTTCACGGCCATTTGAGTTTGTGGAATATAGATCCTCCTCTACCTTCTTCTCCATAGAGTGACCCACGGTGAGATTATAGGTGTTGGTCTGGTGGGCCGAGTGGGGCCCGTGTCAGGGTTATTACAGGGGATTGTGTTAAGCCCGTGGGCACACAGGATCCAGTGTGATGGTTAATTTTATGTGTCAGCTTGGCTGGGCCAGGATACCCAGGTCAAACATTGTTCTGGATGTTTTGTGAGAGTATATTTAGATGAGAGTAACATTTAAATCAGTGGACTTTAAGTATAGCAAAGTGCTCTCTGCAACGTGGGTGAGCCTCACCCAATCAGCTGAAGGCCTGAACTCAGCAAAGACTGACCTCCAGGAGCAAGAAGGAATTCTCCTGCCTGGCAACCCTTGGAGCTTAAACCACAGTGTCGGATCCTCCGCCTGACAGCCCATCCTGTAGATTTTGGACTTGCCAGCCAATTCCTTCAAACAGATCTGTCTCTCCATATATACCCATCCTACTGGTTCAGTTTCTCTGAAGAACCCCAACAAATATACCAAGGAACTCCTGTAAGGAGCCGATCAGGAGACCAGCCAAAGAGTTTGTGCCACCAGCTTCTGACTCCAGGGTGGGTGGGCTGGGATCAGTGAGAAGAAACAACTTAAGAACAGCAGAGTGGAAAGAAATGCTCAGAATTTGAGAGGATGGCACTCCACTTCCCACAAACAGAGCTGTTTATTTGAAAGGGGGAAACATCCCTAAAACAACAAGAACCCACCACCAGCCCCAGAGCTCTACCAGTTTAAACCACAGTGATTCACCAGCTGGCTTTGCTTGACTTCCCAGAATGTGAGCCAGTTCCACGAAGGAAAATAAACTGATTTTAAAAACTGGAAATAACTCAATTACATAGGACTTTGTTTGGGTTTGGGTTTTTTGTTTTACCTTTTCCTTTAATCGCTCAATAAGATCCAGTTGCCATAATGTGAGAATCTTATGTGGCAACGCTGGAAGCCAGGGTTAAACATTAATAAAATTCTGGGGAAATCAGGACAGAGGGGAGAAGAGAAGGTAGCTTTTCACTCGGCCTGTTGGAGTAATAGGATCACGGGGAATTTTTCTCCCTGAACTTCTAATATTGCTGCCATGAAATTGTTGGGCCAGTAAGTAACTTTTTCTAAATGTAAGCATCCTTAGGGAAAAACAAACACGCTACTCTTTCCTCTCTGTCATGCTTTGTAGAAGCTTGACTTGACCCCCCAGGAGACTATAATCAGAGCACTTTGTCCTGGTCAGAGTACAGTTTAACTACAGGCAAAACAGGGCACAAAAAATCATCAGATCCATAACAGATGGGTGGATGGAAACAGAATCGCAGGCTAGGAAGGAATCGTGGAAACGTGTCCTGCCCATGGCCTCAGCTCACGGGCCACACCTAAACTCGTAAAGCCCTTAGGAATTGACCACGCTGGAGACGTCCAAGGACAATACCTAATCCATCTTAGAAACTGACTCTAGTGTCTAAGAATACTTACCGTCAGGAAATTCGGCCTTGTGAGTAAGTTCGGGCTCCACTCACACCCATTTCCTCTGGCTCTGAGCTTGGGTGGAGATGGCAGCAGCTGACACACGTTCTAGCCCACCCGGTGGACACACGTGAGGGCTGTCACCAGAGTAGCCGTGGCCCCGCCCTCCACCAGCTTTCTCTTCTCTGGCTTAAACGGCCCTTCGGTCTCTTCTCACTGACTTCATTCTCTGCACTGGGACCACCCGGCCCCATTCTCTGACAAACAGTCCAATAAAGCGTCGGTCACTACTGTCTCCAGGGCAGCCAACTGTCTCAGCGGGCCAGGGGCTCCCCAGGACGTGGGGCTTCCAGTGTTGAAACCAGGGAAGTCGCAGGCAATCTCTGACACACTGGCCGAGCTGGCTCTAAAGGGGAACGATGTCTCACTCCGAGATTTCAAGGAAACTGCTGAGATCAACAGATTCATATTTGTGCCTCAACTATGATCCTCAGAGTTTGTGCAGAGCCTGACTTCCCTCCCTCACATTCCTGGCCCCGAATGTGTCCCTGTTGTTGGAAGGGTTACGGGCAACAATCCATCCTCTGGTGCTGAAAGGGGGCATCTCGGTGAATGACATGTCACTGCCTAGAGAAGGGTAGATCCATCCTGAGTGCTTCCTTTGTTCTGTTCTCGGCCCAGAGCTCTGCCTGGAAGGGACACAGCGGAGCATCTGCCCCAGAGCACATGGCACCTGGCTGTCCTCCGCCGCAGCCAACTGGGGGAGAGGGGCCGTTCGGACCTGCGGCGTCCAGAGCTAGAAAACAGAATCAGGAGCAAAAACAGAAACAGATATGGAGTGTGGGAGGCGGAGGAGGAACGGAGCAGGGGAGAATGCCCAGAAATAATAATAATAAAATTTTTAAAAATAAAAGATTTTTAAAGCCTAAAGGGTATAGGAGAGGAAAAACATAACCTTTTTGTCCCCCACCCTCCCAGATGCACTGCCTGGGGCCCTGTAAATGAAACCGGCAAAGGACCACAAATGGAAGTTTATGAACATGTGTGTCACACGTACACATGGAAGCGTGGGTGATGAGTGATTCCAGCAGTGGTTAGAACGTGGACTCCTAGAGCTTCTTAACAAAAGAAAATCAATGTTTAGGGAAGTGACAAGACAAAGGAAATGGACTTGGAGTTTATGGATGAAAAACGGGAGAAGGTTAATGTAAGGGGAACTAATGGAAGACAAGGGCCAGTGGAGAAAGTCTGCTGTGTAGGTCCCTCTGGTGTGGTCTGGGTAGGGTCTAGAGTTATCTCCAGCGACTAACTTCTGTCCTTCCTGGTAGAGAAGGAAGGGGGACACCTTTAAAAACTTGCGTCCTGCTTTTGGGTGAATAAGGGGAGGGCAGAGGGCTTTTCTTGTATCTACTTCTCAATTGCTTTTGGCTCAAAATAATCTTTATGCCAAAGTGACATGTTTTGGGATGTCATACGCTGCTACTCTTTAAGGGCTAGAGCAAAAGCGACAGAGAACAAGGTTAGAAACATACTCAAAGAGGAGGAGAAATTGGCCAAAGGAATAAAAATAATAGTAATAATAAAAGAAGGAAGAACGTGAGAAGCGCGAAGAGAAGCCTGGGTTGGTGCAGGAAGGAGAGGAGATGCCTGCCTTGAAGCATCAGGCAAAACTCCCGAGAAGCCCTGCCCAGCCCTCTGGGTATTTCCCTGACACCTTTTGGGAGAATGTTTCCAGGCTTTGGGATTCATGAACCAGGGAAAAAAAGTAATAAACCAAGGACTAATGTAAAGAAGATTCAAAGAACATGAAACAAGAAGTACCTCCTACTGTGCTTATTATTTCCAAAAGCAAAGGACATCATGCCTTCTCAGAGGAAGAAAACTGTCATTGGGAACTGAATACCAACACGCACCCACACGACATTGTCCTTATTTCTCCCATTCTGCCAAGCAGTGTCACAGACTGGTGCCAGGTGTCAGCCTGGCATTTGGGAGGCACGGTTTCAGTGAATCTGAGAGTTCAGTTGTTTTTGAAAACTGTAAAATTTCTTTAGAGAAACGTAAAAGCTAACACTTATCGAGCACTTATCATGTGCCAGCCCTGCCGTAGGACATTATCTCATGAAACCACATTGATCACCCAGTTCTGGTTACTGCCCTTATGTTCCAAATAAGGATACTGAGGCCCGGAAGTGTTAAGGAACTTGTCCCTGGTTAAGCACTACAGGAAGGTTTTAATTCAAGTCATCTGACCTCGGGGCCAGAGTTTTAAACCAGTGTGCTGCACTTGATAAATGTGCTCCTTGACAGAGTCTTCTGGACTTTCTGGACAAGTGGGAAGGGTGTTCATAAGCTCTACAACAGTTTTGGTTGTGCCTCCCACTGGAAAACCACCAGGGTCTCCCAAGGACTATCTTTCCTGAAGCAAAAATGCCTCGGAGTTGTAAATGCAGTGATTGCTGTGTCTCCACTGGCCGGGCCCCAGCCAGGCTCACCCCCGGCCCGCCTCCCTGCCCCGGCTCCGTGTCAGCTCCTTACTGGACCCCCAGGGTGGAGCGCGTCCTCTGCAGCTGCTATTCATATCTGTATTTGTTCAGAGGCTTCCTTCCTGCCTCCCTTTGCACTTTAAGATCTTCCCTTTTCAGGGCTTGGCCTTGATGTCTAACTCTATCTCAAAATCAGAACCACAGAATGATGTTGCCAGGCAGAAGTTTCTTATTTTTCTGTATTAGAGACTTGGTGCCCATGGAAGAATGCTCAAAAGCAGATGCCTCTGGAATCATCCGTGGGGGATTACGTGACCAGGCAACCAGAAACTGGATTGTCCTCATGTTCCAACCCAGGTCTTATTAGTGTATAAATATTTTATCTGTTTACCACTTGCTGATCCTGTTTTTTTTTATTAGTGACTTAATACTGAGGAAAGCTGTCATTACGACTCTCTGTACTCTTGAGGAAAACAGTCTCTATTAGTTTACTATGCTGTTTGTGTATCAGAATATGAGCATTAGGGCTGGAAGGGAATTTAAAAGCATCCCGCAGCATCACCCCAGACAGATGAGAAGTCCTGGTTTTAGAAATCTCTAGAGAAAAAACTTCCACCATCCACTCCTTTAGTCCATCCCAATATGTAATCATCCTTTTTGCTAAGATAATTGTCTTCCTTTCATCCAAACCCTTTCTGCTGTGGCTTAAACTCGTTTCTTATGTGTACCTTAGTAGAGCTGAAAACACCACCATCCACATTACTTTTTCATGTAAACTATTTATCCGAAGGAGAAAGTTTTTACCTTTTCTCATTTTCCAACCTTTAGAAGCTCACCTTTCTATCTTCTTTCAAACATAGAATTGGAAAGGGACATCAAATATATCTAGTTTAGTAAGTCTCAGACTTCAAAAACACTGGACAGGTCCTACCCCAGCCGTGCCAGGTCAGGATCTTTACAAATAGGAACCTAGAATTATTTTTAACAACCACAGGCCATTCTCATACTGGCATTGTGCAGACAAGCATCTCAGAACCCTTGACCAAGCCCTGTCCATTCTCAGATTTCCTCATGGAGCCCACATGGGCACACGTCCAATGAGAATGCAATCACTTCATCCCCAACAAAAGCCCCACCCATGGCCAGAGCCCTCCAAACATACAAAAGATTTCCCTTTTGCTAAGCCAAGATTTGCTTCCTTGAACTTTCTATGAATTACGCCAGGTGTGACCTCTGGTACCCAAGTACTCCTAATTCTCTTCATCAATTTTTCTAACCCCAGTAATATACAAATCACATTGCCATGTTAACATTAAAAAAAAGAAAGAGAAACTCCCTTTTTCCAGTGCTTGGTTACAACACTGGAGAAACTACACATCCAACTGCCTGAAAGACCGCGTTTAGTCCTCAGCACATCGATGAAAACGGAGTCCTCTGCAGCTCAAGGGTCCTCGGGCTTTGGTGTGAATCAGACCTCCTGGAAGGCCTTGCTAGAGCGGATGGCTGGGCCCCACCCCCAGAGTATCTGATTCAGTAGGTCTGGGTGGGGCCTGGGAATGTGGGTTTCTAATTAGTACCCAGTGGCTGCTGCTGCCCGTCCACACATCACCCTCTGAGAACCAGTGAGCTAATTAGTGCCCGCTCATGGCAGCGTTTATTGCCACATAGAATGAGGACCTACTACATCAGACTCAGCTGGCGAAGCTTTAAGAAGTACAGATGTCTGTAGGGCTCAGGCCTCAGGAATTATAATAAACATTCCACATAAATCTTCCCGCTGAAATGTGAGAGCCCCCCAACTGTACTTTTGACACTTTAAAGCCCTTTGGAGAGGCCTGTGGTTCTCGACGTACGGTCCTTGAATGGGCAGCGCACCATCACCTGGGAACCGGTTAGAAGTGCAAACGTGACCTTGTTTTAACAAACCTTCCAGATGATCCTGATGCTATAATGTCTGAGCCACTGGCACAGGCTAAACTCAAGAAGGGGCCAATTCCTCACTATTTCCCCGGCTTCTTCCCAGTTTTGCTCTTTTCACTAGAGAACATGTTAATCTCTTCTTTTGGAGTTTCCTAAACTTCAAGTTGTTGGCATGTCAAGTAGGGAAGATGGCCTGGGAAAAAATTCTGGGTTTGAAGGAGTCTTACCTACTATATTTTGGGTTAAAAATTTTTTAATCGGGTAAAGTGTACATAATATAAAATTTACCACTTCAGCGATTTTTAAGTGTACAGTTCAGTTGCACTATTGCATTTGCACTATTGTACCATCCATCTCCATCTCCAGGACTTTTTCAACCCCAAACTGAACTCAGGACACACCAAACACTGATTTCCCGCTCCCCTCCCCCAGCCCCCAGCAACCACAGCTCTACTTTCCAGCTCCGTGAATTTGACTCTTTCGGTGCCTCATATGAATGGAATCACATGGGTTTTCTCCTTTTGTGTCTGGCTTATGTCACTTAGCATAATGTTTGCAAAGTTCATCCATGTTGTAGTATGTGTCAGAATTTCTTTCCTTCTTTCTTCCTTTTTTAAAATTGTGGTAAAAAAATTTTTACCATCTTAGCCATTTTTAAGTGTACAGCTAGGTAGTGTTAAGAATATTTACATTGTTGTAAAACAGATCTTCAGAGTGTTTTCAACTTGCTAAGCTGAAACATTTTACCCATTGAGCAATTCCCCTCTCCCCCTCGCCCCAGGTCTGGCAACCACCATTCAACTTTATTTCTGTAAATTTGACTAGTCTATACCTCATATGAGTGGAATAATGCACTGTTTGTCCTTTTGTGTTTGGCTTATTT